GCATCTTCAAAAAGCTGGTCAGCAGAAGGAAGCATGAAGTGCTCCAAAATTTCTTGGTAAACGGATGCAGTGACGTTTGTTTTCAAAAAACACAATTAGAAGTGACAGAAGTGATGACTATTCACCAGCAGATGACATTGCACCCCAAATCATCACAGACTGTGGAAACTTAACACTGGACTTGCAATATAAGCAATATAACAAAGAGTGAAAAATTTAAGGGGGTCTGAATACTTTCCGTACCCACTGTATTTTTTTATTTTTTCCTGAACACATAAATGGCACTACCATGTAGTAGGATTCTGACTGAAAAAAAGGACTCTGATGAGTAAAAGCGATGTATGCATCGGAATGGTGACTGTCACGATGTGTCGAATGGTTTTCTGGTGATCACCTTGAAAGTTTCTTGTTCAAACATTGTTTTACAAAGTATTTTCATGAATCTTGAGGAAATCCTTTTCGGTTCTTGTCAGCATTGGATTCTTCAAGAGAGGAACAAGTCCTCTGTATGTACAAGTGTGTGTGTGTGTGTGTGTGTGAGAGAGTGAGAGAGTGAGAACAAGTCCTCTGTATGTACAAGTGTGTGTGTGTGTGTGTGTGTGTGTGTGTGTGTGTGTGTGTGTGTGTGGAAGGGATTTTGTGAGTATCTAGAGGCATAAGTTGCTGCTGATCTGGCAAGTGGAGCCAGTTCCTGCTTGTGATAAGAAGAGTTTTCCATTGGGACAGACACACACCTCAAAGACAGTCTGTCTAGTTCCAGAGGGGGAGGCTTTTCCCTCCGGCAGACGTAGGAGCTTGATTTTCCTGGCATCCAAGCTAATCTTAAGAGAGAAGGGAGAAGGGTTTCAAATGTATTTCATTCATTCATTTATTTGTATGCCACTTTCCATGAAAATACACAATATTTTATTCTTTTTTTTATTTTGTATTCTTATTTCATTCATTCATTCATTCATTCATTCATTCATTCATCATTTTCAACCATGTTACTAAAAAGTGGGACACGTCTAAAAGTGTGTGTCATTTCTATAAACATTTACTTCAGCATCAAAATGAAATAATAATAGTTTGGGACCTTAAAAAACAATATTTTCTGTAAATTAAAGAAAACAAAATGAGGGAGGAAAAACTATGTAACCAATACATTATACTGTTTATGAGAATGATTTTTAGTAGTAAAGTAGTAAAGGTTTTAGTAGTAATAAAATTAGTAATAAACTAATTAGTAATAAAAATAAATATAGTGTAGTAAGAAAATGTAGTAAGAAAATTAGCAAATAATTAAAAATATTTTACTGCAATGAAGTTTTCAGAATAAAGTTGACATGATTTTAAGACATTGGCACCTATGACTGTATTGCTAGATACAGCAGAGAAGGTCAAGACCTCTGAGGTTGACAGACCAAAATCACTACTTATAACTAGCTACATTTCATACTTGATTAATTTTGTTACATAATATATAATGAAATGGTTCTCGCTACAAATAAAGACATGGGATTTGCAAAGTGATTTAATTTGAAAGTGCCTTATACAGTGGTAAAGTTATTACTTCCAGGTTTATTCTCCTCTTTTACCATCTAGAACTCTCAAATTGTAGTTCCAAAAAGACCAGAATTGTCATTTCATTGAACAAAATATCCCATCTCTCAAGGTGTTCACAGTCAAGTCCTCTAACCTCTTACATCCAACCAATTGTAGCAGTTTCAGTGACATAAGCACTCCAGTAAGTCTCGATTAGACATACTTCTAGCTAGGGATGCACCGATACCACTTTTTCCAGTACTCGCACGATACAATACTTTTATTTTTGGTACTTGCCGATACCGAGCAAGCATGGAGGTGGCATAGTTACAGTCAAACCCAAATTTTATTCAGACACCTTCAGCATTTCTCACATTATCTCAGTTTATTCGCTATAGTTTAGAAAATGGTAATACAATATAACAAGAACTCAGATTTAAACTGTGTCAGAACTAATTCAGCTTGATAATGTTAGATAATATTTGATAGAAAGGTATGTAATGGATTACAATCAACCAAAAATTAGACAGCTGTTAGTATGACAGTATTTACACAACTATGAATACTTAGTCGGGCAACCCTTAGCCTTAATGACAGCCTGTAGTCTCCTGGGCATGCTGTCACCCAGCTTCATGCAAACCTGGGCCCGTATTCACAAAACATTTTGTCTTACCACTACGAGTTCTCCTAAATAGCAGTAAAAGTTTTTAGCTAAGAGTTTTCTCTTAAAACCTATTCACAAAGCTGCTGAGACAAACTTTTACTAAAGGAATAGAGAGAAGTCTTAAGCTAAGAGTAAGGGCGGGGCTGACCTCGTTGCTATGGATGATGTCAGCATGCTTACTATGAACACAGTGATTGGCTGATACGGGAGGGGTCTCTGTCAGAGAGTTATTCATAGAAATATTGTAGAGCACGATATTATGTTGCCATATTCAGATAAAGGTTTAAAAATAAAAGAATTGCCACATTCAAATAAAGATTTTAAAATGCAGGCTAAGTGTCACTAATTAAACAAGTAGGCTATATATTCAGCTAATTGTCAGCCTCTTATATGCATGCTTCTCGTAAACAATTAGTCAATATGCATTAGGGCTGCCCTCGACTAAAGATTTTTCTGGTCGACTAGTAGTCATTCATTTTAAGCATTAGTCGACTATTAGTCGCACTTTTATTAATAAACCATATAAATCATAATAATGAGCCTTAATTGCCTACATAGCCTAATAAGCGTTCAAGCGCACGCAAAAAAAGCCTTGCCATAGCGCACCGGCAAATATAATAATTATGAATGTGTTAGGGAAAAACAGCAAGTACACTGCAGTAACGTTTTAATAATTTATTGTTACACTAGCGCTTTCCGTTTTCGTGTTTAAGAGATGAAGTCGGCGACACTGACTCTCCGCAGTATGCGCCTGTATGCATGTTTCATACGGATTACATAATCTGAGAATATTTGTTTTCTATTTGATTTGGTTCAATTGAAAGTAGACATTTCGTTCTCTATAGATATGTTTTTCATGTTTGTAAGGCAAATATACACCGTTTCTGAGTTTCACGCTCAAGTTCACAGAGACCGAGACAGCAGAAAGCGCATCCTGTTTGCTTTCATTATTTAACAAAAGCGCAACATTTCATTGTTATTCTGAGTGCACACGAATAAACGTAGAGTCTTTACAGATACAAAAGCTCTTATCTGTATGACCAAAAATGATGAAGTATTTTAATATCAAATGATCGCACCGGCGCCTCCATCTGTCATGCAGTAAGTAAGCGCGCTGCTGTTCAGCTTCCACACTCCGCATAAACAGGTGAACAGCGCACTTTTTTCTAGGCTAACATTATATTGCCATGTAAAGTTGCTACTACATACATTTTTTCAGATGATAAGCCATATTTGGGGTCGATGAATGTTAGGACTTAGGAGAGCATATGGATGTCCTGCCCAATGTTCTATATTACCACATAGACCAGCCGTTAACGAATTGTCCATCACGGACTGCGTGATTTCGCCACTTCATGTGGAATTTTTTTTTTCTGCGACTAAGCGACTAATACAATTTTGGTAATATGCATATAAACAGCCTTTTAATTAGCAGAGTAGAATAATCATGGCTGATAGTAAGACATGCAAACACAAAAGAAAACCAAACTGTACGCGAGAACAGCTATATATTAAGGATATAATCAAAAATTTGGAGATGGAATAACCTCCAAACCAAAGCCGATACCTTTTTAAAAGCTCATTATCATCAAATGTTTCTAAAATGTTTATATTCCGAGGTAGATTGCTGGTAACAGCCATTTTAGGATAGTTCAGATTTGGTCTTAGTGACTTAAGAGTCCTCTTCACTACTTCTAACATTTCACAGATGTTGGAGCTAATTTTAACGCTAAAACGCTTCGTGAAATACTCTTAGAACAAAAATGTAGGAGTCCTAAATTTAGGACTGACATGCCCATTATTTTTAAGATTTTCTCCTATATCGGCGAGTTATGAGCTACTTTTAGCCTTAAGATGTTTTGTGAATACGGGCCCTGAACTTCAATTTTTTTTTTACCAGACTCGGTCTGAATAATTTTTGGTCCCAAATTTCTATCAGTTTTACTGGTAGTCCACTGTATAAAGAAATTATGGGTATAATTTGTCACAGTTTACTTTATTTTGCTATCCTCACTTACATAAATGAACTATAGTGTCCTGCACCCACTAGTAAAAAAATATAAAAAATTATATCAGCTGCTCCATTGCAGCGGCTTAGTACTGTAATCACGTAAATGATGTTTATAGTGAATGCCCCTATAAATGGTCTTATTTTTACGATTTAGTTTTAATCCAAATGATGTGTGTGCTAAGTGCGTGAACCAAAGATCACACAACAGAATTGCGCTCTATTCTCTCTCTCTCCCTCCCTACCGTTAAGTAACATTGTTTTACTTACTTGTTTTTGACGTATCCGACCGAACTACAAACTTTCCAGTGATGTCTGTGAGAAAGGTATATTCACTCGACAAACTCGCGCATCTGTGCCGCCGCTCACTCAATCCACTCAGCGTGCTTTGCTTATCAGCTCGCACACATCAGCTATACAGTCAATACTGAATGTTTAACATTATATTCATTGCATACATATACTTCGTAGACATCCTTAATCTCTAATAACTCCATTCTGCTGTCTGTTGTCAGTGTTTCATTGTCTGAATATGGCACTTAACACATGCTGTGTGGTATCGGCGTTTGGTATCGGGGCATTTTAACGAGTACGAGTACAGGAGCTCAGTATCGGGCCCGATACCAGTATCGGTGCATCCCTACTTTTAGCCCTTTCCCTCAGATGAACCTGTCTCATTTCTCACTTTCTATTTTTCATGGGACCCTTGAGAAAGCATGTATTACCAAGGCTGAGAGAGGAGCTAGTCAATGTATAAAAAGGTAAGAGGAGTCATTAATGACAGCCTCAAGGAAGCATTCCTGTCAAATGACCTGAAACACTTTTTAAGCAGGGGTCTCAGCTGACTTCCCCACACATCTGCTACCGAGCAAATTTGAGTGAGGGAGGCTTTTTTTTCCCCTCTGAGGTGGCTGATGTGCAAACCGGAACTGTCAAGGGGGCACTCAAGCCGGTGGAGGTGTCTGTTTCTCCTGGTAAAAAAGGAGCGACAAATGAAAATGCTGAGGGGTACTGGAGTGGAATATGCGACAGATGGGAGAAAGTCTAGAAAGCATAACCTGAAACTACGAGAGCTGATTCAAGCCTAGTCCTTTGTCCTCACTGAGACTCGTTTAACTATTAATCTGCATGCCAAATGGCAAAACCCAGGGGCGTAGCAGTTTTTATAAATGGGGACATGTCCCCCATCACCGTTTTAGAAATTTCTGCATTGGTTCCAATACTTTTTGCAAGAAAGCAGGGATAATTGTAACACTTTGGTCATTTCATTAAAATATAATTCTACTAAAGCTTTGAAATTCATGACTTTAATATGTCAGCAGATATTAGCTGTGCTAATTTTTTTACTTAAGTTGAACACAATTAAAATATAATTACACAAAGCACTGACATTTGAAATATATATTGCATATTAGTTTCTTTCATTTAAAAATAATCATTATTTAACAGATAATTTATCAACACATCACCAGTCTGTACAATTTAATCATGGATATTTCTGTCAGATAACTGTCATCTAGATGTATTAAAGCATGAATGTTTAAGTAAATGCCTGTTTCCCTCTGAACACGAGAAGGAGACGTATGGATGTCAAAAGAGCACTTGCTTTGAAGACAACCAATGGCAGATGGAAGTGTCACAACTCAGAGTACATTAACTACAGCATCAGGCCCACTGGCAGTACAACATCAGGACAAAATGAAGGACCGTTACCTCTCCGTCTTTCGACTCCAGGCGTAAATCGCTCCTACAAGTTGCTTGGAAATCACCTGCGTCAGCTTCTATTTTCACTCCTTTAGGCGCCTCCATGTATAGCGAACGTGTAGGAGACTCCAGCCTGAGCAGAAGACATATCACAAAATATATTATCTACATAAGAACTTCAAATAAAAAAAAGCTCCCAAAAATGTTGTAGGAATTAAGCTGATGATTTCAAAGGAGAGCTTTGCAAAGCGAACAATTTCCTGGAGAAAATGCAAATTATGCCATCTGATTTCTATCACACACACACACACAGACACACACACATTGTGCTGCTTGAAGGTTTGTGAACACTTTATATTTTTTAATATATATATATACACACACACACACACACACACACACACACACAGACACAGTATATATGACCCAAAACATCATTAATTTTCAAGTCTTGAAAGCAGACAAAGAGAACCCGAACATACAAATGAAATAAAATTTCTTTGTCATTTTTTTATTTAGGAAAATTATCTAATATTACATATCTGTGAGTGGCAAAAGTATATGAATCTCTAGGATTAGCAGCTAATTTGAAGGTGAAATTACAGTCCATCTTTTCAGAAATGCTTTTTGTTTAGAAATGGGATGTCAATCAGATGTCAGTGACTGCCCTGTTTTATTTAGAGAATGGGGCCCGTTCATCGTACGTCGCTAACTCAGTTAGCTGGATTTGATTGTTGACGATTTGGCATGATGTTGGATTGTTTGGTTCTTCGAAGCTCATCCCGTATTTGCTGTCATAGCAAAAGGTCCGTTAGCTTAAACCTGCTCGGGAGCAGGCTTATTTCATGCAAACAGGATTAGATTGCATCTTTTTAAGTGGAACTGATGCTTAAAATCTGTCCCAGCCACTGCTACTTTATTACAAGAGTACCCTACTGATCCAGGGACAATAATTTAAAATAAAAATAATTTAAAACTTAATTTGAAAATAATATTATAATGTTGTGTAGTCTATAATACTATAGACACAGCCAGTTTTACTCATTGAAAGATTTATTTGTTATAAAAAAATTACTTTATAATTGTATTAGAGTCTTACACACGTGCTATACAGTTAATCTTGATGGAGCGCAGGAGATGCAGATAACATGATCTTGACCCTTAAGAAACTTTAATTAATGCTGTCACGTAACAATTCTGCTTCAAAGATAAAATAAAATGAATTGCTAATTACAACATTGAAATAAAAATGTAAAGCCTGTACAGATACTAGACATCGTGAATATAAATAATTGGAAATGTAAAAAAAAAAAAAAAAAGAAAAATAAAAATTTCATTTATCTATTATAACATTTATGTAGTTTTGTTCACTTGGCTGTTTCCTTATAAAGGTCCAGAAATTTGTCAAGTTTTTTGTCATGTATCTTTTTTTAATTATATGATGTCATTATTGTAACATGTCAGTCTGTTCTGTGTCTCCGTTGTGTTTTGCTTTCTTCCCTGTGACCTATGCCTTGTCCAAATACCCACACTTGTGATATTAGCCACTTGAGAGCGCGTGCGCGCGACCGGAAGCAAGTGCTCAAGACTGTCCCAGTTCTTAAAAATACCAAAGCGCAGTGCCCTTAACGCACACTAAATCCAGACTATCTTGAATACCAAGCACCAAAGAATGGTGCTTGGTAGAGGTGCAAGGAGAAAGCCACTACTCTCCAAAAAGAACATTGCTGCTCATCTGCAGTTTGCTAAAGATCGTGTGAACAAGCTAGAGGGCTACTAAAGAAATGTTTGTGAACAGATGAGACCAACATAGAGCTTTTTTGGTTTAAATGAGAAGCATTATGTTTGGAGAAAAGAACACACAGCATTTCATCATAAGAAACTTATCCCATCTATGAAACATGGTGGTGGTAGTATCACTGCTTGGGACTGTTTTGCTGTATCTGGGCCAGGACAGCTTGTCCTTCATTAATGGAACAATGAATTCTGAATTATACCACAAATTCTAAAGGAAAATGTCAGGACATCTGTCCATGAACTAAATCTCGAGAAAAAAAAATGGAAACAGAAGGACCCCAAGCACACAAATCGTTTTACCAAAGAATGGTTAAAGAAGAATAAAGTTAATGTTTTGGAATGGCAGAGTCAAAGCCGGGACCTTAATCCAATTGAAATGTTGTGTAAGGACCTGAAGCAAGCAGTTTGTAAGATGAAACCCACCAACATCACAGAGTTGAAGTGAGCATACTGGATGTTGTCAGAGTTCTTGTGTATACAAAAATTGACTGGATTATTATAATTAATAGCAAAAGGAATGTTTGAAAATGTAAACTGATATATTCTACTGACACACTACAGCAAAAGACAGAAACAACTAGCTTAAAACCTCTGGTCCTTTGTTTGCTTGATTTTACTGTGGATTCGTTTACAAACAAGGCACAATTCAAAGCAGCATTTTCAGAAAGATTGAAACTAAAAGACAATGCTGTGCCGACTATACTGGATCCAACAGTAATGTCACAACACAGGTGTGAGTAAAATCAATAAACATACACATCTATTAGCCAATCATAGCAGTGGGCGTTTACTTCCGAGTCTACAATCCGCCACGCATATTCAAACAGAGCGTTCAGATGAGGGGGTTCAAGAACAGGACAGAAAATAGCCTATTACTTCTAAATTATTTTTTTTTGGTGTAAAAATCTTAATAGCATTATAAGTGGACCTCAGAGAACAGTACCAAAAAAAAAAAAAATAATGGAGGCAATTCATGACCCCTTTAACACTAAAACCGCCAGGTGTCGCTGTATATCTAAAACCGTCAGCTTAAATTTAAAAACCCATTTTACCAATGCACATGACAACTGTTTTTATATGACTAAAAAACATATTATTTCAATGTATTATGCCACTGGCTTCACAAAGAAGTGTCTAGAGTCATGAAATTATTATGTCTAGTCATCAACTATATATTTGTCCTCTTGTTTTATGTTCAAGGCTTTATTTATGCAGGCCACTAATCACTTTTCATAACGGTTAATAAGCTAAACAAGCCTGCACTGACAACGAGAATTAGAAGGAAGCAAATGCATATTTGGGTGGTGTAATATTATACTACAATGTCATTAATTAATATATTAAGATATGATAATATAATCATATTAGATAATATATTAACCTATGTCATTTAAATTACTAAAATGTGCCTATAGGCAATAATGAGCAATAATAATTCACCACACTGCATGATGGGATGGCAAATTCAAGTGCACAGCTTCACCTAAATACTTATTAATTAGTTTAGTTATGTCATTTATAATATGAATAAGAGAACAATACAAATACACTTCGGGTAATCAAAAAATGGTTTTATTCATTACATCATAGATCGGATTTTGTTTTTCTTCAGGAAACGGGCAGACTAAATAGCACCACAGAAGTGAACAATAAATGATTGAAATCACAAAACAAAAATTAATTAATTAATACTAATTTTGAACAATTATGAGTAACGTTAGGTTAAAACATCTAAATATGATATCTGGATCACCGTCAGATGCTGAGCTGACCCAGGACGCTTTACTTATCTCCCCACCATCAGACTCTCCATCACTTATAGTATTTAGTTAGTTAGTTTAGTTTATTGTCCTTTCGGAAATTCTTTTTGTATCTGTGGCAACTCTTCAGTGATCAACAACAATAATTAACAATACAAACATCAACAGGTTACAACACATCACAAATAAATACAACCAGCATCAAACAGCATCCCTCTCACAACAACAGAATCACTGCCATAGATGTAAAATGACAACTGTGATATCACAAAAATGTATTTAACAGAGCTATACTGGATGATATAAAAGATCTTTGTGCACGGGCAGTCCGTAATAATGGTACCCTGTACCTTCGACCAGATGGTAATAACTCATATTCACCACAAAGAGGATGAGATGCATCGTGAAGAATTGTATGGCTTTTCCTCACAGCTCGAGATTCACATAGTTTTATCAGACTATGCTGTTGTTTACCTGCAATCTTACTAGCCATGTTAACAATTTTATTTAGTTTGTTCTTATTTACTACAGACAGTGAGAAATACCAAGCAACAAAGCTGAAAGTCAAGATACTCTCCACAAATGAATGATAGAATAGAGCCAACATATATGTATCAACACCAAACTGTCAAAGCTTACGCATGAAATACAATCGCTGCAGCCCTTTCTTGTAAACAGCTGTTGTATTTACATCCCATGTCAGTTTTACATCAATGATTGTCCCTAGATATTTATATTCATTTACAACTTCAATGCCCTCACCATTAACAGTTATTTGTTGATGAGTGCCTCTTCTTGTTCTGAAGTCAAAAATAATTTCTTTAGTTTTCCTGATATTTAACTGAAGGAAACTAGATTGACACCCATCAACAAACTTATCCACACCTCTACGATACTCCACTTCATCTTCAGTGATCAAACCAACAATTGCCGTATCGTCTGCATATTTGACATTAAAAACATCAGATGAAAAACCTCTACATTCATTTGTATAAAGGGTAAATAACACTGGGGAGATAATACTTCCTTGTGGGGCCCCTGTGTTGGTAAAAATAGAGGAAGAAAAAGCAGAGTTCACCCTAACACACTGTAATCTATCGGTCAAAAAAGACTCAACCCATCTAATGAGTCTGCTATTCACACCCAGCTTAAACAATCTTTCCATTAGAATATGTGGTCGTATAGTATTAAATGCAGATGAGAAATCTATAAACATAACACGGGCATATTGCTTTGGTTGATCAAGATGACAATAGAGTCTTTGTAGCATATACAAGAGGGCATCTTCTGCAATCCTCCCCCTCCTATATGCAAATTGCAAAGGATCAAGTTTGTTTCGCACCTCAGAAAGAACACGATCTAACACTATTTTTTCAAAACCCTTCATGACAATAGATGTCAAAGTTACCGGACGATAATCATTTAAAACTGCTGGTTTTGATATTTTTGGCACAGGCACTATAAATGAATATTTCCAGGCAGTAGGTACATAGCAAGTATCCACAGACACTTGAAACAGATGACTGTAAATGACACTAAGCTCCTCCCTACACTCCTTAAGTACCCTACCAGTTAT